GCAGATATCATGAGCCTGTGCAGGTTGTTTTCATCAGTGCCAGTAGCTCCGGTTTGACGTTTAAGTTGTCGATATTTTATATTTGTTATTTTTTTTAATATCTCATGTTGGGAGAAGTGGTTGGACCCTCGTGTCCCATGCCCACTACACCCCTGTATTTGTCTTTTTCATATCACTTAAAAAATAAAGAATTACAAAAAAATAAAAACTAAGCTTGGTTTCATCAGCTTTTCTCCATTGAAATATACAAGTTTAATGCTATACTGTGGGACATCTAGGCAAGGACATGTTAGCCTTTCTACTATAAGCCACAGTATGTAGCTTTTTAGCAGAAATAAATAAATACATACAAATAAATTAAAGTTTTAAGATGGTCTGAAAACTCAAGATGGATGGATTTAAAGAGATATTTTGAGGAGCCTGTGATCAATACGAGTGTTCATGGTCCTGTTTAGGAGATTAATTTTCAGTTAAAAAGGAACTGAATTGAACTGAAAAATTGTTAGCTATGGTAGTTGTATATGAATGTTGTTGTTACAGCTAAGTCCATCCATTCTGGTCAGAGTGTTAAAAAAAAAAAAATCAGATTAAGTCAAACTTCTAACAGAGTAGTGCTTTCAGTTAGCTTCACATCCTCAGGGAATGTTGACATCAACTGCAAAGTATCAATAAAAAAAACATGTTTTATTTTTTTGCATTGACAAACCGAGAAGAACGTGCATCCTTACTTACTGGGCTTGCATCTCCACAGACCTGACTCTTACGCTGCCTTCAGACTGCAGCCTGAAGTGACCCAAATCCAATTTTTTTGGCCCCTATGTGACCTGTATCTGATCTTTTAATGACAGTCTGAACGACACAGATCCGATTTTTTTCAAATGTGACCCAGGACACTTGGATATGTGCTCCTGAAACCGATACATATCTGATCTTTTGACATGCGACTTCAGTCTGAACGGCCAAAGTGCATTCATCCAACCTACACGTTATCAACAAGACACAAATGTCACTATTCTGCGCTGAAGTAGGTGAAAATTGTTAATGAACTCTGTGTCACTGAAGTGAAGCACATCACCACTCACCACTCTTGGCTCCGTCTCCACATCCACATGTTCCTTTCAAATGGACGTCGCTGCCGCTGTCCCACAAAACACCACGACCAAAAACCTCGTCCTTCTCCTTCTCAATCTCCTCCTTAAAACAAGTAAGTTGTTCATGTTCTGGCTCCGGTACGAGAGGAACTTTAAAATCTCCAGGTGCTCAATGCTGCGTCCATGTTTGGACAACTTCCGTAAACACAGAGACGCTCGCTGCAGTTGACGTCATCGTGTCTCCAGTGTCACATGTGGGACACTTTTGGGCCGTTTACTGTTCACACTGGAGTCACATACAAGTCACATTTAATTGGAAATGTGAACAACCTCGCAAAAACATCGGATTTCACAAAAAAATCGGAATTGAGCGTTAAGCCCTGCAGTCTGAACGTAGCCTTATTTGTCCTAGAGCCTTATTTGCCTTCACCTGCTTGTTTCCATGGAAATATTGTTCCTCTGGCTATAATATTCCACAGTGTGACACAAAACTCCAATCTCAGTGAGGAATATTCCAAGTGCCTTCCTTCTCGTTACCACTAATATGAAACATATTTATCTCTAATTCAATCAGAAAGCATAACATTGGCTGACTTGTATTGTTAAAATCACTATTACTAACACAAAATGTACCAAATAATCGTAAAAAAGCATCGCCGAGGCAAGAAAACACGCTTCAACAGAATAGAATTTTGGAATTTCTCTTTCTGCCCATTGTATCTTAATAATGAATAAGACCTGGGAGTGAAAACATCTAGCACAAAGTTTTTCGAGTGGGATTCTTGGCAGCAGAAGCACGCGGTGTACTGGCTCGGAACCTGCATAATGCACTGAATAACAAGGATAAGTTACTCCAGGTGAAATTCTGTCCAACACTGAGACTGGAGCAGAAATCTGAAAAAAAAAAAAAAAAAGATTTATGATGGAATAAACATAATACAAAAATACTATTTAGCTGAAACTTTGCAGCTGATGTCATCAACATTCCCTGGGGATGTGATGCTAACTGTGGGCACTGCTCTGTCTGAGGTTTGTTAGATTCTCATATGGAAAAGGTAGAGACAAATCATACACCATTTGAACATGTTTTATCTGAATCCTAAAAGATTTGTATATGACAGTGAAAACAGTTACAAGATCTTTGGTAAATATGTGCAGCATGAAACATATAAAACTTTGTAACCTGCAAGAGCTGAACATGACACTAATCCCACACACAATCTCCTCAAAGGTCAAAGGACAAAGGTCATTTTTACCACAGAATCAGAGAAAAACAAGTGAAATGATGAGATGAGATGATGAAATTATCACTGTGTGTGTGTGTGTGTGTGTGTGTGTGTGTGTGTGTGTGTGTGTGTGTGTGTGTGTCAGATGCCCTCCCGCTACACAGAGATGAAAACAGAGGAAGAGAAGAGGGATAAAGAGGGATGGAGACAAGGAGAGCACTAAAAAGTGACAAGTCCTGATGTGACTAAACCAGGACTAAACCAGGACTGAACCAGAACTGAACCAGGACTAAAATATGGACTGAACCAAGACCAGGACTAATGTAAAACAGGACCGAATCCCTGGTGTAATTATGACAAAAATAGAACATAGGCGCCTCAAAAACTTCACATTTCATTTTTATTATTATCACTGTGTTTTACTCACAGTCTGTTTGTCTTTCAGTGATAAATGACTCACATCTAAATCCAAAATACAAACTGAAAATGCCCAAATCCAGAGTCCTTTTCCTCTTTAGACGTCCACAGACTGTAAAGAAATCGCTCGGCTGCAGTCAAATGAAGCTCATCGACGCCCGCGGTTACAGGGGAGAATTCAGAGCTGCATTTTAGGAATCGATTTACAGACAAAACAGCAAAATGAAAAACCCGGGATCACGTAGAGCGGATTAATACGAACATTTTAAGAGCAGAACGATGAGGCTCGCAGCAGCAGTTACGGCCGACACACACTACAGGATTTGGAACCATTTTTAAACGTGCGACAGAAAGCGAACGCCACAGACACGAGGAGAATCTTACGAGACTTTAAATCCCCGATCGCAAAGACTGAAGCGGGATCTGTGTGCAGACCTTTGTGTCACCTGTTTCCTGTCTACAGTAAAACCACTCACTTTGAGACTCTTCAGTGTTCAAAGATCAGACTCTGCACTTCTAGTTCACATACAAAACAAAACTGGGTTATTATTATTATTTGTGAATTCAATTTGTATTTCTTTGTGTCAAACACCAGGACTTTTCTGAAAATGAACAGGTCAGACTTTACCCGCCCCTTTACCTGAGCAGTGAGGCCCCGCCCCTTTACCTGAGTATTTTCTGAGTAACTTTCCTTGAATCAACAAAAAACAATGAAGTCGTGCAAATGTGTTGGGGACGTTTCAGCCGCTGCTTTCACAAACGCTCTGATGTCGGGCGGTTGTCTTGTCTCCTCCCTCTCACCAGGAGGTTGTGGGTTAGACTCCTGATCTCTCTGATCTAAGCCCCTCCCCTTCTGTCCCAGGTGAGATCGACTAGTTTTGTTAATTATAAAAAAAACAACATTAAACGTTTAACATGTGAAAGCTTCCACAAGAGCAGACGACTTCTCTGTTGCCATGGTTTCCATCTAATATTAATACAGATGGAAAAGTACATCGTAATCACCGGGAAAATGATTTAGCTCCCCTCTGGGACGATGACATCATCACATTCTAGAATCTAAAATAGTTTTGGAGCCTGAGAAGCTGTCGCCGTAGCAACGTGATGTTCTAATGCCGCCCTGGATCTCCATGGTGATAGAACTCTGCTTGATGACATCATCAGAGAAGCACGACGCTGCTTTAAAGTAAACTTTGAGTGACACAGTGAAATAAACACTAAAGTGACAGAATACTTTTACTAATACTTTTACTACTGCTACTTCAAAGCAGCGCTCTGCTTTATGACATCATCAGTAAAGGACAAGCACAAAGCACAAAGCAACTTACTGCTTTGAAGAAGATTATAAGTGTAACACGAAACAGACCCTACAGACACAGAATACTGCCACTTCTACTGCGTGTACTACGACTACTGCGAGTACTGCGTGTACTGCTACTAGAGCTACTACTGCACGTTTACACTAGAGCTTTTCTCTCTCTCTACTGCATATTTAAACAGAAAAAATGCCCTGGTGTTTTTTTAGAAACTCTCGACCTAAGGTCAAGTGCCAAATCTTAGAGGCTGAGAACCAGGAACTGCACGAGAGGATCCGAAACTTAGAAAATCAGAACCAGCAACAAAACGAGACGATCCAATACATAGACATTCAGAACCAGCAACAAAACGAGACGATCCGAAACTTAGAAAATCAGAACCAGCAACAAAACGAGACGATCCGAAACTTAGAAAATCAGAACCAGCAACAAAACGAGACGATCCGAAACTTAGAAAATCAGAACCAGCAACAAAACGAGACGATCCGAAACTTAGAAAATCAGAACCAGCAACAAAACGAGACGATCCAAAACTTAGAAAATCAGAACCAGCTACAAAACGACACGATCCAATACATAGAGATTCAGAACCAGCAACAAAACGAGACGATCCGAAACTTAGAAAATCAGAACCAGCTACAAAACGACACGATCCAATACATAGAGATTCAGAACCAGCAACAAAACGAGACGATCCGAAACTTAGAAAATCAGAACCAGCAACAAAACGAGACGATCCAAAACTTAGAAAATCAGAACCAGCTACAAAACGACACGATCCAATACATAGAGATTCAGAACCAGCAACAAAACGAGACGATCCAAAACTTAGAAAATCAGAACCAGCTACAAAACGACACGATCCAATACATAGAGATTCAGAACCAGCAACAAAACGAGACGATCCGAAACTTAGAAAATCAGAACCAGCAACAAAACGAGACGATCCGAAACTTAGAAAATCAGAACCAGCAACAAAACGAGACGATCCGAAACTTAGAAAATCAGAACCAGCAACAAAACGAGACGATCCGAAACTTAGAAAATCAGAACCAGCAACAAAACGAGACGATCCAAAACTTAGAAAATCAGAACCAGCTACAAAACGACACGATCCAATACATAGAGATTCAGAACCAGCAACAAAACGAGACGATCCGAAACTTAGAAAATCAGAACCAGCTACAAAACGACACGATCCAATACATAGAGATTCAGAACCAGCAACAAAACGAGACGATCCAAAACTTAGAAAATCAGAACCAGCTACAAAACGACACGATCCAATACATAGAGATTCAGAACCAGCAACAAAACGAGACGATCCGAAACTTAGAAAATCAGAACCAGCAACAAAACGAGACGATCCGAAACTTAGAAAATCAGAACCAGCAACAAAACGAGACGATCCAAAACTTAGAAAATCAGAACCAGCAACAAAACAAGAGGAACCGAAACTTAGAAAACAACTCATTAAATCATAACAACGAACTGTTAGAAGAACAGATCGAGAGGGTCTGCTTGCAGCAGGAGTCGCTGGAGAAAGTTCAGATGAGGTGTGATGAAGCACAAGGTGAAGTCTGCCCACACCTACGAGATCTGAAGGAGGAACGTCAACAACATGCTCAGCTGAAAGACCCATTCAGAGTTCCTCAAAGCTGTCACCGAGCTCAACCAAGAGAAGGTGAATTTGAAGGAGGAGCTCGAAATGTTGACGACAGGAGTCGGTTCCTCAGGCTTTCGGGAATTTAAAAAAAAAATCTTATAAGAAGCGCATGTCCGAAGATCTGAAAAGTGTGGAGAACAGGTTATCGGAGGTGTAGAGAGACAGAGAGACAACGACAGAGGATCACAGAACTGTTGGAGGAGATGGAGATTCTCTGTGATGAACATGAAAAGATCAAACAGGAGAAAACACATCTGCAAGAGCAAATCCAGCAGATGTGTGAAGAGCTGCAGAAAGCCCACGCCGAGCTGGAGAGCTCCACGAAGACGTTAGCCGAGGAGCAGAGGAGAAACCAACTTCTCACACGACTGAAGGACAAATACGAACTCCACGACGAAGAAGAAGAATACGAGGACGAGCGCGAGAGGAGAGGAAGAGGAGACGGAGGAGGAGGAAGACGGGACAAACTAGATGAAACCCCAGCTCAGACCTGGGTTAGACCTGGGTTAGACCTGGGTGAGATCAGGTTTAGATCGGGTTTTCAGACCTGGTTTAAACCTGGTTTAGTCCTGGATTAGACCTGCCGGTATTACGACATCCGTCCGGTATATGACATGTCTCTATTTACTCTATTTTTGTTTAGCACTCATGCCTCACAGCAAGAAGGTTATGGGTTGTTTCTCTTCGTGTCTGGATGAGTTTCTTCCGGTTTCCTCCATCAACACAAAATCTGCTCCAGGTCCATGAACAGCTGATAGTCAAGGACACTTAAACACAATCAATTCAATCATTGTGTCCTTAGGCAAGACACTTCACACACATTGCCTCGTATGAAAGTGGTGTGTGTGTGTGTGTGTGTGTGTGTATATATATATATATGTATATATATATATATATATATATATATATATATATATAATTTTAAGCGAAAACGAATCAAAAACAAAGTTGACATACATGTAAACTCAAACTGAGGCAGATAATGTGCACAAAGAAAAAAATCAATACAATAAACTGAGGAAGTGATATAAAATAAAATCCTAATTCTTCTATAATTTTATGTGTTTTAATAGATTCAATGTTAGAAATAGTTTTCAGTGTTTCATATATTATATATATATATATATATATATATATATATATATATATATATATATATATATATAAAATTATTTTTTTACGTCTAATATAATGATTTTGAAAATGGTCTGGAATTGGAGAATTTGGATTTATGGATTTTCTTTACTTTTAAAAATTTTTTTTTACTTTTTTTATTACAGTAACAAAACAACATAACAAAACTTTTTTTTTTTTTTTTTTTAAATTACACTCAACCGGATGCATAAACTTGATACAACAAACGTGTGTGTCGTCAGCAGTTCCATGTTGGGATGAGGGATCATAAACACAATATATTATATAAAAACAATGAAATACAAAAAAAAAAAAAAGTGCATTTAGGAAGAGAAAAGGATAATATTGAGGGAAGTCGAGTTCATAAAGTCCAGGACTATTTCACACATATTTCAGAGCTTTTATATATAATTTGAGTTCGTTTTTAAAACAAGCAAAGTTAGTGGGACATTTCTGAATTTTACATTTGTGGATGTAAAATTTGGAACAACTTAACAAAACATCAGTACACCCAGTACACAGTGTTGGGAAGTTTACTTTTAAAATGTAATCCCCTACAGATTACAGATTACATACACCAAAATGTAGTTTGTAACGTAATCCATTAAATTACTTAAAGTGAGTAATGTAATCTGATTACTTTGGATTACTTGATTTGTTGTAGAGAAACAAAGACGAGGAAATCTTCACATAAGATTTTGTCTGATAAAAGAAAATAAAAAGCCCAAACTTTACTGAACCAAATTAAAAATATTATTGATAGAAAACGAAGAAACACGTCCACACAGCATGGTCCTGTTAAATCCTGTTTTAGACCTGGTTTAGTCCTGGTTTAGACCTGGTTTAGACAAGGGTTTAGATCTAGTTTAGACTTGGTTTAGACCTGGTTTAGATCTACGTTAGACCTGGTTTAGATCTGTTTTAGACCTGGTTTAGTCCTGGTTTAGATCTAGTTTAGAGCTGGTTTAGATCTAGTTTAGACCTGGTTTAGGTCTACTTTAGACCTGGTTTAGACCTGGTTTTAGTCCTGGTTTAGTTTCTGGCATCTACCGAAAAAAAGGGGCCGTGTAATCCCTTTATTTCAACAAAGTAACTGTAATCCAATTACCACTCACTGAAACAGTAACTGTAGTTGAATGCAGTTACTCATAAATTGTACTCTGATTACATAACTCTGGTACATGTAATCTGTTACTCCCCGACACTGCTTTTCTGTCCCATTTTTTTAGTTTTATTTTTACTTTTCTTTCTTTCTTTCTTTCTTTATTATTATTATTTATTTATTTTTTTCTTTTTATTTATTTTTTAATTTTTTTCTGTCCCATTTTTTACGCTTACAAAACGTGCGTGATGACGTGTGTCGCGAGGTGGGCGTGTCCTCCGCGTCAGCCTGTGATAGCACGAGCCGTTAGCCTGGTTTGTAGTTTTTCGTGAGTTTGTAGTTTCACTTTGAGCTTCGGTTCCCGGACGGAAAAAACAAAACAAAACCTGGTTTAGACCTGGTTAGATCTACCTTAGATCTAGTTTATATTTAGTTTAGACCTGGTTTTGTCCTGGTTTAGTCCTGGTTTTGTCCTGGTTTAGACCTGGTTTAGACCTGGTTTTGTCCTGGTTTAGATTTAGTTTAGACCTGGTTTAGATCTAGTTTAGATCTAGTTTAGACCTGGCTCCGTTTCCCTCCGGAGGTCGAGGTCGAGTTGTTCAGAAGTGACACGAGGATGAAGAATTGAAGTGATTTAGTGATTTGGAGTGAAACGGAGAGTTTGTTCAACTTGTTCTGTTGTTTATAGTTTATCTGAAGAACTGTCAAATATGTGACGTTAGGGTTAAGTGTGTGTGTGTATGTGTGTGTGTGTGTGTGTGTGTGTGTGTGTGTGTGTGTGTGTGTGTGTGTGTGTGTGTGTGTGTGTGTGTGTGTGTGTGTGTGTGTGTGTGTGTGTGTGTGTGTGTGTGTGTGTGTGTGTGTGTGTGTGTGTGTGTGCATGTGTGTGTGTGTGTTGGGCAGCATGGGGGGGAAAACACAGTAATGTCAATATTGCATTACAACCTTAAAAAAACATAAGACATACACTCTTTCACTGATATCACAGTGAACATACAGGATGTGAAAAGATTTTTAGCCACTTTCCTTGTTGCCTCTACAAGTACCAGGGTACTTGTTGTTCCGTCCTCAGGTAGTAGCTGGTCAGCTCAACTGGCAGGTCACTGGACTTTGATATGGGCAACCTGGGTTCAAATCCCCCTTCTGACTGGGATTTTGTTTTTTGTTTTTTAACTGCAACATATTAAATAATACAAACATTACATGGAACATACAAAGAAAATGTAGTTTATCATGCACATAACCTGTAAATGAGTGTGTATACATGCACATCAATAACCCGGTTATTAGCCATATCCCGGTTATGTCAGTATTCGAGTTACTGCGTTTACATGTGCACTGAGAAACCGGGATACTCATATCCGCGTTTACATGATCAAATGGAGTATCCCGGTTTCTTGACATAATCTTACAAATGCGCAGGCGCAAAAATTTACTTAAATCAATTTCATAAACCAGGAAAAATACAAACCATGAGCTCCTTTAGCATAAGAAGCTAAGGAGCTACGAGATCTCCCACAATCCACTGTGCAGATTCTTCATTAAAATCTTCTGCATAAATAAATTGAACTTTACAACATATAAACCATAAACACTATAGACACATCAGCCCGTTTGATCATATAATTCAGCTGTGATCACATTTGTTTACATTTTACAGAAACGAAACTTAAGACCGTAGGCTAATTAGCATAAACTGTTAGCGGTGATAAAAACAACTCGCTCCTGGCGCCACTGATGCGATCAGTTTCTTTTGGACTAAATGACACGACTCTGTGGATTATGTGTGTTATTTCTGTGACAGAAGAGGCGCTAATGATGGTAAGTGTGTTCCGTGCGTATACAGTATAGGAGATAGTTCATGTTTTAGCTTTTCACCAATCACACGAGTGCAGGTCGTACGAGTGCAGATTGTACGTGTGCTGGTTTAGCGCAGCTCTTTATTTTACAGTCATTTCACTCGTTTGGTCACTTTATTTATGTTGGTCAATTTATTTATGTGACTACTGTTGTGGTGAAAGGCTGGAAAGTGTCTTTTGGACGCATGCGCACTCAACTTTATGTTGCAGTAACCGGGGTACTGCGTATACATGCCACAAGTAACCCGGTTACTATCGGAATAAACCAGCTACAGTAACCCGGTTTCTAATAACTGGGATACTGCCATAACCGGGATACTGAAACCGGGTTACTGCGTATACATGCACCATCAAGAAACCGGGATACTCAAAAAACCCGATCATAACCGGGATACTGATGTGCATGTATACGCACTCAATGTCATGCAAAATGGTCACTGTATCTTTTCTAGTTTTTCATGATATATTTGTATGAGAAAAATGCAAACTGGGTCCACTTTCAGGAGTAAACCACACATGACACATATTAACCTTATATAAAGATTTACTACAAAGACAGGGGTAAATTATATTTTTTTCCTGTTTCTTCCATATGGGTTTTAATCTGATCTTTGTTTAACATAATGTGACTAGAAAGAACTGACTTACCTGGAACTACAACATGTGAGCTGCTTTGAGAGGGAAGCAAGTCCCTCTTGCTTAAGGTGACCAGAAGTCCGTATTTATTTGTCCAAAACCACTTATTTGTCCCAGTTTAATACAAGAAATGTCCCAGGTGTCCCTATTTTTCACCAATATGATCCTTGCCAACAGTAAAAAGAGGCATAAATTGTAATTTGTTTAGGTAAAATACAGAAATGCTGCTTCAAAATGACCAAAACACAAAGAAAATGTGATTATACTGACTCACATTAGTGCTGAGTGCATAACAATTTTCAATAATGCATTTATTTATTCATTTTATTTTTTTATTTTATTTAATTCATGAGACAGGGACAGTGCATGATGTACATTAACCTTAACAGGAGAGATGCTTTATGCCAAGTTGTAGCACTAGAGCTAATTTCCACCTGTCATCCCTGGTGCGTTTTTTAGGTTTTTACGCACTCGTTTTACAATTTTATTATTACCAACCAACCCAAACCAGGGATGTCTCAGTTTTTATTTGGAAAAAACTGTTTTTCAGTTTGTCACTTGCACCTTTTTGTTCAAAATCAAGCACCTAAATGGGACAACAGACAGTTGAGTTGAGCTCTTTGAACTGTTTTGACACTGCTTTGTTTCACCATGGT